AAAAGTATTACAATAAATAATGCTTGGAACACTATGTAATGTACTCAAGGGAGCCAGTTTTGCTTTTAGCAGGAAACATTCACTATGAATTTTTATGTCTTTTTTTAAGATCTTTTACATCACCACTGCAGGTAGTTGGAGCAGGACAGTTAAAGTCAAAATAAGTGCTAGTGTAAGTTTTTTATTTTAAATATTTTGTATTATCACTACTACATATGGCATTATGGCATTTTTGACATTTTTTTTCAGTGTCGTCTCAGAGCCTACAGAGGGTAGCCGAGGTTCAGTTTCAAGGGTCACTTGTAAACCCTTTCCCTCTTAGCTTACAAACACACACAGCTACACTCACACACCCCTCTTGTATCCAGTAATATGCTTCACACCTTCCTTCCGTTCAGTATGGAACGGTCAGGGAATTAGCCGTCTTGTGCGCGCGCAATAAGCCAGGGGTTGCGGGAGCGCGCGCGGATTGTCCACCATCTCAGCCCCTCAGGCTGTGCAAATCGCGCGTCTTGTCAATCATCTCCCTGGCGAAGACCTGATCCTCCGTGAGTACTGGTGAGTCCTCTTTTTGCTTTTCTTTCATCGGAAGTGCCAATTTAAAAAAAAAAAGCGCGCATAATTTTGCTATCCAGCACTCAGGCATATACAGGTATATCATATGGTGTCCGATTTATAAGGGTCATTTGGACTTTACCACTCATTTATTTGCAAGTGTTTACAATACCCATGACTTGAGCTACTGCTACTGTTGAAATCCCCCGATGGATGCAGTGGTGTGTGCCAGGGTGCTGAGACTGTGTTTTTTTTCCCCCAAACCACCATCTGCGTGCGCACAACTGTTGCGCCAACGAGCATCCAATTAAACATATTTATCGAATCACCAAAGCAACTGCCCAGGGATTAAGTAGTCAAAATGGAAATTAGATAATTTGATGACGTCTCTTGTCGATGTTTTTATGCTGATTTAGATTTAGGCTTCAATGATAGTCTTAGAGGGAACTGTGTAGGCTCGAGTGAAAGTTTGATGCAAGTCATTTTGAGCTCTCCTTGCTGTTGTTGTGCTGGAAAGTAACAAGCAGTTCTTTGAAATTAGCGATGGGTGGGTGCTTCAGGAGAGACAGTATTAGAGCAGCGCCACATTAAAGTTAGTGTGCAGGTACATCTGACCCCCGGCGTCTCGGGTTGAGCTGTCAGCAAGCTTACAGGCCTATAAGCCTCATGCTGAGACACACGCAATTCTGTTGTCACTCCTCCGGTGCCTGCTTTAAAGTTACCAGGAAAGGAGGACAAATACGTCATAAACAGACTTGGGGGGGAAAAAAGCAGCTCCTTAAAAAAGTCAGTAAAAATATTAAAATAAATAAAACATGAGGAGAATATTAGTAGTCAGGGGCAATTACCACACTATCATTAAGATGCTAATTTATTGATTAAAAGATGAAATCCAAAAAGGATAATTTGGGGGAATAATATTCTCTTAGAAGAGAACTTCTTGACCAATTTTTTAAAATCCAGTTTTATTTTGTTTTTGTTTTTCTAGATCTGAGGTCTTAACCGTTTTGACCTAATAGCTGGAAAGAGGCATACATCTATAAGAGTGTTGTGGGAGGGGGAAGCTGATGTCAGTGGTGGCTTTAGATGATGACAGAAGTGTGGGGAAGGTTTCAGGATCTACGAGAGGAAAGAGGAGAACTGTGTGAATCTAAATCTTAATTGTCACACAGAAAGGAGTTTTAGATGTGGTCCAGCACCCAAGCTCCAGGCTTAATATTTCCAGCAGATTAATGATGGACCTCTGTGGTATGTTTAATTCGGTTAACTGCAAAGTGTGCATAAATATTATTATATATGAACAGTTTTAGCAAGAATCTCAGCCACAGAAGAAATGGCACTATGACTAATAAGCTAATTGAATAGGGCTCAAAATATGGGACATCCAATGGAAATGAAATTAAAACAACAAACCAGACTCGTTTGCAAAATTATTAGAGATAAATCTAAAACACCCTGCCTACATTACATAATTAACCATACCAATCATAAATGTCCAATAGACCATGTGTAGTCAAACAGGCACATCAATATCTGTTTTGAATGTTTCCTTTGTGCTAAAAATGCAGAAGAAAAGAAAGTAACCTGCAATTTTACCTGCAACGTCTTGCCAGTGTGTGTCAAACTGTGTTTGCTGACTCTTGGATAACTGGGATTATTGTGGATGTTTGTGTATATGTGTAAAGGGATTGACTGTTGAAGTTGTTGTTGTTTTTGTTGCACTCATGCTGTTTTGTTGGCTGTTAGTGTAATTGTGTATCTGGGGGCTTGGTATTTTAGGTTGGTAGGACTTTAATACAATTTTACCAACATACAAAAAGTGTAATCATGATGCAAACATTGTGACCGTTTTCGGTTCCAAGAAGTAATCTTAATATTTAAAAAATTAAAATTGTAAAAATGTTGTGTTCAGTCCTTCAGGTAATTTTCCAAGGAGAAGAAATAGCTGGCATTCTTTTTCTGAAACTCTAATTGGTCAACAGATGAAAGGAATTATAACAAAACAAAACTCCAGAAAAAACAGAAGAAGATCCCCTGACCCCCAAAACACTTTTTTAGCTTAGCATCTGAGTAAAAAAATGTTTTTTTCTTTACACCGTACATCTTTATACAGTAGCACATCAATTATAGCCCTAACTAAGCAAATTACACTGAAAAAAATGCTATGATAATTAAAAATATGACAATATACAAATAGTGATAAAGAAAATGTACCGTACTGATCATGCAAGGGAAAAAACTACATATTGCTTAAAAAATCACTCAGACTGAATAAAGATTTCAAATCAAAACACATATTGAGAAAAGAGAGAAAATATTTTTTTCAGATTTGACATGTTTTAACCTCTTATCACTTTCAGAAACATAAATACAGTAGTATCTCATAGCACATGGACAATATTATATTGCATCGAAATGGACTGTAATTGTTTTTTTGTCAGTTTTTTTGACATGTGATCTTATACTACTATGTTCAGCAATGCTAGTTTTTTTTTCAAACAACATAAACAACATAATGTTTCCAACATAAACAAGGCCACATTGTTTTTTTGTTTTATAAATTACACTACTTGCATGTAATAACATCTTTTATTTTACATTGCTTACCACAATAGAAGTGACCCAAAAAAAAATGACACCTCAAAGTAAAATTGGATTGTGCAAAGTATGTACATTTATAATTACTGTGAGGGGATAGAAGGGAGGAATAAAAACAGAAAGCATTATACTTATTAAACACTTTTTTTTTAGAAGAATTGATCAGACAGAGATGAGAGGATGATGCTGTTCTTGGCTGCGCAGAGTGAAATGTAAAGCCGCTGTTAAAATATTAGTCATAGTTTATTATAAAATGTGTTTGCTTTTTCAATTTACATTTAAGAAAAACTAAATGGACTGTTACATCTTTTGAATAACTGAAGCTCGAAGAAAACAATAATAATGAAAGTGAAATAGTGTTTACGAGCTCTGATCCTGTTTCAGTGCATTAGTATGCACAAACGTGCTCAAAGCAAAGGTCAAATTCGCCTTTTGGTTTCACACGGGCCACAAACCTCACTGTCCTGGGTTGGTGACCACAATGTCTAACTCTTACAGCTGACTTTGTTGCTCTTTGCTATGCCTCACCTGATTTGCTCTAAAAAGACTTTAAAAAAAGACCTTCCAAAAGCCTCAAAAAGAGCTGTGTAAAAGTCTACATTGTGCTGAAAAGTTAATGTGGAGTTCCAAGTCAAGCCAAAGAAATGACTCCATATTTTATTTCTGTGAATTCAAGGGATTCACAGCAATTACGAGAGTGTGAGTCATAGTCTTTCGAGATGCCGCTTCATTCTTTAGCACCAGAGTCTGAGCTCAGCGACCAAATTGTCCCAACAGATTGCAGCCTGTGCTGCTTGGATTGCAGTGTGGGCTTAATCTGAGCCTACAGCTTCAATTGAGTAAAAAAAAAAAAGGGAGACAAGACAGCTTAATTTTGGCTTTGAGTTTATCTGTCAGTCTGAAAGAGCCCCTACTGTTTTCTCAGATATATTATTTGACCTTAAATTAAGGATCAATCTAAATATTTCATATTTTCTGCAAAAAGACTGAGAAGACAACATTTGCCTCAGTTTTATTATTTGATTTTTCCCGTACAATAATGATTTTTTATCCCATTGTATGCATGAGTGTATATTGTTAGGTCGACAAAAAAAAGTCTTCTTGACTTGATATATAATTAAATGGGCATTTTAAAAAAAACATAATAATTTAAAAGGTAAATTAAAATGAACCTTGACTCGCTTCCTTGTTCTTTTAATTAGGAGGTATCTAATGAATGTTAGATAACATGTCATCACTTTATAAGTTATACTTGTAAGTTTTACTTACAGGAATGAGAGCACAAAACAGTTGCATTAAGTTATATAATAATATTCTCCTGACAGGCCTTTGGCAACACTTAACTCTTGTTTTCTCTTTCATGTGCCCACAGAGGGATGAAACGGAAACGAATGTATGCCCTTAACCACAGCAATGAGTGAGTCATCGTCCTTTCACTCACAGAAGCTTATTTCATTGGCCCGATCACTGTCTGGGGTCGGACTCGACGCCGCCAATGGAGGCCCTGTCAACCTCGATGACAATGACGAGCCTCCACCTCCGGTATGGTTGCACCTGAATGCTGGCTTTAACATCCCACGTCTGTAGCGCATCTTGTCCTCCTACAGCTCTGCTTTCTTATTCTGGAGATGTCACATTTAAACTGTTGCCACGTTGCCAGTACAGTATTCTCCCTAAAATCACAGCCTTTATCTCATCACTCAGCCAAATTATAATATTTGTTTTCTGGTTTGGTAGGAGTCTGGCATTGAGCTTGGCCCTGGGCTTTTTTTTGCTGATGGCAAGAGGAAAGTGGACTACGTGCTTTGCTACAAATACAAAAAAAGGAGAACATCAAAGCCGCGTCTTTCCCTTTCATCTAACGGGAGTCTACCGATACCTATACCAATGCCAATCCCGATACAAGGTCGATGGGAAGCGGAAGCAGAGTCTGGGGAGCCGGGAGCTCATGCGGGAGACGCGGAAGAGTCCAAGCTTACTGAGGAGGAAAAAGCTTTAATGAGGGAGGAGTTTGAAGCAGGCCTGCTGGAGGCTGGGCTACAGATTGAGCGTGATAAGGAGGTGTGTATGTGCTTTTACAGAGCTTTCACAGTGAATATTGTTGTTTACAGCTTTGGACTGCCCTTAAGTGATTCAACCACAAATCCTATGATTGGACAGCTGCCCAGCAGGTAAACCATAAGCCTGCCCGCTGAAGCTAGAAGCCTCGTCTGCACAATAGAATGCTTAATTTCAGTGGTGTATGATTGAATAATAAATTAAAAAATACACAACTAACAACAAAATAGTGCCGGATTTATTTTTTCATGAACACAATGTACAAAGGGTTTGTTTCTACCCTATTTGTGTCGTTGCACATAGATGCATTTAGTGTGTGATTTTTTCTTTCTGTCTATTTGATTGTGCAGAGCTCGTAGGCTAAATTGGCTGCTGTTTTACATGGGGATTAAGAGCATTGATTGTAAGGGCGAAGCCAAAGGCCAGATTATAGGACCTTATTAAACAGTGAGTTAATACTGTGAAGCGTGTGCTGGCTGGCACATACATGTATTTGGCTGCGACTAGTAAGTATTTATATGTAAAGGAATAGTGTGCTTGATCATGTCTTAGCTATAACATCGAAAAGTCTTTTGTTATTAAAGCTAGCAATAACATTATTATTGTTTTACAATATTCATTACTTGTCCCCATTGAGGCTCAGGATACATGTAAAAAAGGCTGTTACGGATTGATTACTAGGGCGCTGCTGTAAATGCACAACATAGCCATATCTGGGAGGTGATGTTTGAGCTTGTGATGCTGTACCTGCCTAACAATGTGGTCGCTGCAGTAATTGCTTTGGCAGACAGGACAGGAAGACAGAGCTCAAGAAGCTCAGTAACTGACCACATTTCATATTATCAGAACCGATAATTGGGTACATCATTGCAATTTGCAGGAAAGCATCCCAACAGTTATCTGCAGTTTTCCATACTTTGCAGGATTGAGTGGTCCTGGATTTGTGATAATGGGATTTCTTACAAAACAGCCTCATCAAATATAATCAAATGTGTCATCCTGACAGGTTTAGAGAAGCATATATTTTAGTTATGAATGTAATTTTTTGCCGTCTTCACATTTCTAATGACTCTCTCTGGCAATCTGTGTGCTGATGTGCAGAGGTCAAACGGCATCGGGTTTATTCGACTGCACATCCCATGGTCAATACTGAGCCGAGAAGCGGAGCTGCAGAAGATCAAAGTCGCGGTAAAAAAGGTCAGCAGTTTCACGCAGTCAGTAACATACCTTGGTCAGTGAAATTCCAGTTTTATTTAGTACATTTTGAGCATTTTTTTGAGATTTTTAATTTGGTTCGGGGACTTGCAGTTTGGAAAACTGTGGAAAATGACCAAGTAGCTTTGATCAAAATGTTTTTCATGTGTGTCGTCTTTCTGTAGAAATGTGAATTGCGGAAACGGACAGGCATCGCTGGGATGTGGGATTCTGTTGCCACTAAAATCAACACACCGTTTCAGCCGGACGTCCCCGATTTTGACATCCAGAGAGACTCCCAGACACGCGTCAATTTTAAAACCCTCAAACACCCTTTTATCAGAGACAAACTCCATCTGTGAGTACATAGATGATCACACTTACTGGTGAATAATGAGGACAATCTTAGCTTTGGACACACATAGTTTTATTGGTGACTGAAAAATCAAAGTGGTATTCAGTAGGTGTTATATTGTAATATAAAGCTAATTCAGAACTTTGTATGCCACTGAAACACGCAAAAAAGGAACTTGCCATTCGCAAAACTTTTGAGAACAGCCTTTATTTTTTAACCCTAATTTATTTTGTCCCTACAGCTATGACATCAAGTCAACAGAGACTCTGTTTGACAGTGCGACGCGGAGCAGAATAGTGAGTCCAGGAGTTTTTTGTCATGAAAAAAAGATTTTGAAATCTAAAGTTTAAATATAAATGAGCTCACTTAAAATTTCTATACTATGTTACGTGTGCTTCTAGGTAGCTGAGATTATTTCGCGTACTACCTGCAGACACTCTTGCCAAACTACCGGTGAGATCTACTTTTTTTCTGTTTCATATTGTTCAGAGTCATGCTGACAGTCGTAGCTAAACTGCCTGTGTGTTACATTACCTTCTTGTGTTTTAAGGCATCAACTCTTTACTGGCTCGGGGTGTCTATGTTGCTGCTTTCCCTCTGCATGACGTAAGTAAAATGGAGACCTCTGCTTGAAGTGCTTTTGTTCTGCTCAGTTACTGTATATAAGTAACAAAAAAATGTACAGCTCCTAAAAACCTCATCTTCACTCAATCCTGTGGATTTAATATGATTTAAAGTAAACTGCTATGTGTCTTATAAAGAGCTGATCACTTTTTCTGTTTTAGGGGTCATTCACAAGGAGAGGACGGAAAGATCAGAGAAATGATAGACAGGTGAGTTTTCTCTAACTGGATGTGGATAAGCATGTGTTGACAAAATGTTTTTGCCTCTGGAACATGCTTGATGAAGTTGATGGAGGTGATACATTCATTTAAGGGGATAAAATCTTTGCTGTTGCTAAGCAAGCTTCAGAGCGCTTAAGCGCTAACATATTTTAAAAATAATACAATGTAAAAATCTATATGTGATCCAGTAGTTTGAGTTCTTTCAAAATCTTAATACAGTTTGATTATTTATCAACACATCTATCAACACTCTGGGTGAGGTCCACAGGTCTGACATTTATAATGAAAGGCCTGAAAACATTGCATCTGACATTTTAGTTATTAACTGTTATAAACTTTTCTGTCATGTTCTTGTGCATCTTTCAGCTCCTCCATGAAGAATGGGCTAACTATGGAGTCATGCATAAATACCAGCCTGTAGATCTTATCAGGTACTGAGCTATGAATTTCTAGCTATAGCTTTAGCTTGTAGTGTAGTGTCCATTACAGCCACTAATACTGATTTTTAAGACACAATATTGGTGCAAAGTCTTTAAGGCTTGCCATTATCATTATTATTATTATTATAGATGAGATGCCAAGTCAAAGTTTTAAACTAAAAGTACTAATTCTACTATTAATAATAAAGTTCATAGATGTGCCAAGTAAACGTTAAGGTTTCTAATGTTTCTCAGGTGAGATCAATTGTTTCTTGTGTTTTTAAATTGAACACCGCTTGAGTCTAAAACAGCATATGTCCTTGGCTCTTCACATTTCCACTTGACAAAAATGTATAGCCTGCACGTTGCTCCTTTTTTTTACAGGAAGTACTTTGGAGAACAGATTGGGTTGTATTTTGCATGGCTGGGTGTTTATACTCAGCTCCTCATCCCTCCTTCAGTACTGGGCATCATTGTCTTCCTATACGGCATACTTACTGTGGATACCAATGTGCCAAGGTGGGTAGATACTAATTTGTCTTCAAATCTGTTTGTGCTTATCAAAAGTGTATTACTGACACACAGTGTTAATGTTATTATGCATGTGCTGTTTTAACATGTGTATTTAAGTCAGGAGACGTGTAATGACAGCTTGAACATCACCATGTGTCCACTTTGTGATGGCGTGTGCGACTACTGGCGTCTGAGTTCGGTGTGCTCATTGGCCCGAGCTTCATACCTGTTTGACAATGGAGCCACTGTCCTCTTTGCTATTTTCATGTCTCTGTGGGGTAACTATACACTTTTAATGCATATCCCTGTTACAGCATGCGCAGTAAGTTTTAACACAGCAACTCCAGTAGATAGACAGACATTTAATAAACACTTAGATTTCTTAATTCAACTTTCAGTTAACCCGGATACACATTTTAAGATATGAAGCTACTTATTTTGTAAAAAACAGGCTTGTTTAATTTTCTGAACACATACACATTTAGGATATGTTTGTGAATAAACTTCCTGCCAAAATTAATTTTTTTGAACCTCCTGAATGCAAATAATTTTTTAAAATCTTTTTTAAATTTCTTTGAACTCCTTTTGTTCATTTTTTCGTAGCTGCATGGTTTCTTGAGCACTGGAAAAGGCGGCAGATGTATCTGAAACATACGTGGGACCTGACGAGCCTCGAGGATGAGGAGGTATTGAAGTAGATTTGGCATATTGTCCAATAAAAAAAACTATGCTATATTAACTGAAAATGAAAATCAATCAAATTATTACATAATTTTATTTTTTCACTGTCTATTTTTTTTAACCCATGTAAGTCAAACCCAGAGTTTTAACCTCTTGACATGACATGACATTGACCATGTGTTTAGGGTGTTAAGTGTGATAATGGGATTAGCGAGTTCTTAAAGGGTATTTCCTGGATAGTATGACAAAGCACGGTCATAACATACCCAAACACAGCCTAGAACAACTATAGCTGTTTGAACTTTGCTTGAGATTATCCAGCGGACGTACGTGAGAATGTACCCTGACCAGCCACTTCATTAGGTACTCCTGCTAATGAAGGAGTACCTAATGCGATTGGATGTTATGCGATCCAATTGCATAACGTCAGCTCCATTCGTCAACTCCATCCATTTAAACATATAGACGTTAGGCAACATGCTCTGCTGAAATTCAAATATCAGAATGGGAAATAAAGGTGATTTAAGTGATTTTAAACATGTCATGGTTATAGGTGTCAGATCCAAGATCCAGGTCCAAGTATTTCAAAAACTGTTTACTTTAGTTTAAACATTTCTAAAGTTTAAAGAGAAGGGTCCAAAAGTCCAAAAGAGAAATATCCAGAAAATGCCTTACTGATGCCAGAGGTCAGAAAGGCAACTGTAACTCAAATAATGACTTGTTACAACCAAGGAATGCAGAAGAGCATCTCTGAGTGCACAACACATCAAACCTTGAAGTGGATACCTACGGCAGCCCTGTGTGCCACTCCTGTCAGCTGGGAACTACAAACTGAGGCTGCAGTTACTCTGGGTTCACCAAAAGTGCACAGTAGAAGAAAATGGTCCATATCTACTGCAACATTTGGATGGCAGGGTCCGATTTTGAAACATGAGCAACAGAAAGACTCTGTCATGCCTTGTATCAACGGTTCAGTTCAGCATATAAGTCTATCCTTTTATGACCATGTTATTCTGATGGCTGCTTCCACCAGAATAACATGCCATGGCCCACAGCTCAAATAATCTCATACTCGTTTATTGAACATGCCGGGGAGTTTACTATGCTCAAATGGTCTCCACAGACACCAGATCTCAATCCAATTGAGGAACTTTGGGATGTGGTGGGATGGGAGATTGTCATGATGAATTTGCAGCCGACAAATCTGCAGCAACTGTGTGATGCTGTCATGTTGATATAGACCAAAATCTCTCAGGAAGGTTTCTATCATCTTATTAAGTCTAAGGCTCAAGTGGGTCTTTACCAGAGAATAGCAAGGTGTACTGAATAAACTAGCCAATGAGTGTGTCTTAGAAATAGTTGAAATTCTTGAAATTCATAGCAACGACATGTGGCCCCTCCCCAGAACCGTCCATCCATCTTTTTTTTTTCCAAATTCTTATTCAAATGAACTATTTTTGAATAAATATATAACACAGAGCATTATCTGTTGTGTGTTACAGAGTTCATGAACAGCATTCATTTATGAAAACAGCTAATCTTTCTTACATTCTCTCTTCCCTTTCTAACTGTGTGTGCATATCTGTCTCTGCCTCTTTCATTCGTCACTTTGTCTCCTGCCCGAAGGAGCGAGTCCAGGTGGGCAGGTTTCTTTACCCGCAAGTTTCTGTAGCCATTTTTTATGCATTGTGAAATAAATTCATTGTTAATGTTTTAATGTGTTGGCATTTAATGGGTTGTGTATCTACAGTTGAGAATTTTAATTCTAAACATCAGCAATTGAAAAACTCAGTTAATGGTCACAGTTGCAGATTGAAATCACTTACATTAAAGGTGTAAATAATTCACACAAAATAAATGGTTTTGCAATGGCAGATGCCAGACATTAGTGCATGTGTTTTAAATGTGTGTGTGTGTGTGTACTGCAGGAGGAACTGAGACCTGAATATGAAGAAGCACTGCAGGAGAAAAAAGCCAAGATGAAAGCACAGTCTGCAAAAAAGGTATAATGTGTGTTTTTATTCACATTCAGTTTTATAACTTGCCACACAAAAGACACAGATTTCACTCACTCACTGTGTCTTTTTTCCTCTGTTGCAGATGACTCAGTCTGGGGACGGTAGAGATGGAGAAACAGACCAGATGCTGGCCTACCAGGTATCACTACACTGCCCTGAGTGACAGGACATTATGTGGACAGAGCTGCTGGGGGTAGAGGGCAGGGCTGTATTTAAACTTCTTTCATTATTGCTAGCAGATAATGTTGCTCCCCGATTTACTTTATCCTCAATGAAGTTAAGTGAATTACTGCCAGAAAAGCAAATCTTACAGTTTATCTAGGTTTTTCATATATTGTAGATTTAATATAGACTACCTGTGTGTGTATGACTTTATGTTGGTTCATAATAAACCCCCCTACACCTACTGTGGATGGTTGAGTCCAAAGCAGCTTACCTGCCTGAGATTAGCCCAGATTACTGTTGGAGAGGGAAAAGGGAGCAGAGGAAGAAGGGGAGGGGATTTCTGTCCTTTGAGATGGCAAACACGCACCTGCTAGACAGAAACAAAAACGTGTGTGCATGTGTGTGTGTAGAACATGTGCAGTGCATTAATGCACAGTGCTAACTCATATACCGATGATGAGAACAAAAATAATATGCATGTTTTCTTGGCAGCAAGAGCCCGAGTCACTGGACATAGAGGATCACATGTCAGGTTATCTCATCAATATATCCACCTTACTACTGCTGGTACTGCAATCATACTTTCTTCTTATTCTCACATTTCTATCTTTCTTTTTTGTTGATTTGATTTCTTAAGAGAGATTATATTTTAGCCATCATTATTTGTATTTTTATTTGTTTGTATTTAACAGTAATCAGAAGGTTTTTATATTTTAATATAAACTTTTTGTGTCTTCAGATATTCATCACCTTCTCAGCGGTGTTCGGGGTGGCAGTTTACCGCATCTGCATGCTGAGTGTGTGGTCCATGAACCCTGATCCGGAGGCCAAGGCTAGCGTTAGGATGACAGTCACAACCACAGGCATCATCCTCAATATGCTGGTTGTTCTGGTGTTGGAAGAGGTCTACGGAGCGATCGCCGTGTGGCTAACTGAGCTTGGTACTTTTTTAATGCTGTTAGAAAGTTTAATCATTGAAATTGTTCAAATTGGAGACAGAAAGCAGTAAAATCTTGAAGGTAAAACAAGTTATAAAACTGGACACTCACCAGCAAACATAATTTATTACTCAAGAAAGTAAGGCATTACACATTACCGCATTTTCCTGAATTTATATTACTTAATTACTCCCTGGAGAAAGTAATTCATTACAGTACTTGTTACATTACTTTTGTGTTACTTAAAATTACCTGAAACTCATTGTCACAAAATTATCAGTTGACAGTATAAACCTCAGGCTACAGTCTCACACTCCAGCACATAACCTAAGCAGGTGAGGTGTGAGGACACACATGTGATCTATCTTTATATGTATGAACACAAAACTGGCAACACAGCACAGAGATGAAAACCACCCGAAGCCACAGTGATTCTATTCTAGAAACATGGACACGCAGCCTGACTGCTCTTCACTGATTTTCTTAGCTCAGTTTTGTCATCACTCTGGGTTTTTGGTTAGCTAAAATTAAAAATGTAAAGTCCACAGTGGTCTACTTCTCTAAAGCTGTAGACCACTCCACCATTTCTGTAGATTATAGCATGTTTGTTTCATGTTTCTTCTTTCTATATGTGTGGTGTACAGAGAACTAAAGAACCTTTGTAACATAAGTAAGAACATAATTGTAACTGTAATGTAATTGCTTAATTTAGTGCAGTACACATGTCACGTGATTACAGTAGCATGTTACTTTAGAACACGTTACAGCCGCCACTGATGATTTCACTACTGCATTATTCTGTAAACCCTGAAGCATTTATAACAGTGTTACTGTTGTTGAGACAGCTCTAACATTGTCCACTCTGTTTTACAAGATCTGTCTTTAAGCCTTCTGCTGTTTGAGTTCTAATTTTCATGTAACTAACTGTATCATCTAACACGATTAGATACTTCGCTATGCATTTTAGTACAACAGGGCGTTTTACAGATTAAGGGAGTCTTGGTGATATTATTAGTGAAATAACCAGTATAAAGAAACTGATGATACAGGCGATGTGTTTAAAGTTGTAATTGGAATTAATAGAATTAAGTCATGTCTCAACAGAACTTCCAAAGACAACGGAGGAGTTTGAAGAGAGACTAATATTCAAGTCCTTCTTCCTCAAATCCATGAACGCCTTTGCACCAATTTTCTATGTGGCCTTCTTCAAGGGCAGGTCTGTATTTTTTTCTTTCTTCACAAGCTCATACAGTTACGGAGCCCCGCAGGGGACATGGGAGAAAAAAAAATTAAGACGGACTTTTGCGAGATCTCGCAAAACAAACTCGGGATCTCGCAAAACAAACTCGCAAAAGTTTTAGCCGCATTCTTCCCATTAGCTCGAAGCTAACGGGAGGTCTCCTCCCGTTAGCTTCGAGCTAATGGGAGGTCGAGACCTACTACAGCCGGGAGGAACACCGCTTTCCCGGCACATCGTGCCTCGACCGCCCGGTCGGCTTCGAGCCAGCGTCCGAAGAATGGGGCTAAAACGTTTGCGAGATCTCGCAAAACTTTTGCGAGATCCCGAGTTTGTTTTGCGAGATCTCGCAAAAGTCCGTCTTAATTTTTTTTTCTCCCATGTCCCCTGCGGGGCTCCGTATAAAGTGACCTGGGGTCCCATTTGATGTGGGACTACACAGCATTTTTATCCTTTGTCTGTCGTCTCACATGTAGAGATAATTAACCATTTTGACTGTCACCAGTTTTCTAAAATTAGCACTGCAGGAGAGATACTTTTCTAATGTCTGGCTTATATCCAATGGCTGTGAAGCAAACAGGGAAGGCTGTAATCATGGGTCGAGTGCAGGTTAACCTGTTGCCGTCTTTTGCTGCCCAAGATACAGCCAACAGGGGAAAATGCGAGTGACCACAAAGTCACAATGGAGTACTATCACTTTCAATCTTTTGTCATCTCACTTATGCCAGTGTTTAGTTAAAAAATGGTGAAAGAATACATTTTTATACAGTTTTAATGGCAATAGTTGTGCAGACTGTGACAGAGTGTGATAGAAATGAAGCTGCTGAAATTGCATAAGGCAACACAAACTTTCTCTTCCTATATGGTTAATGTATTTACTTAGCAAAGGAATGGAAAATTGCATTCAAATTAAATATATTTCCTCTTCATATGCTATATTTCATATATATTGCCTCACACAAACATACTCTTTGCTCCATGATTAGTTTGCTGAGATGTGTTCGTCCTACTCACTCGGTACTGTGTGTCTTCATTCCTTTATCACGTGACTTGGTCCTCTCCTCATACAGGTTTGCTGGGCGGCCTGGCGATTATGTTTATGTCTTTGGAGACTATCGCATGGAGGAGGTTTGTTGCACTACACACATCAGTGATTATTGTTTTGTGTATGTACGTGTAAGATAAATGATCTGTAGTCTTTTATGTAAATGTGTGTTTTGCCTTCTATAGTGTGCCCCTCCTGGCTGCCTCATTGAGCTGTGCATCCAGCTCAGCATGATCATGCTCGGAAAACAACTCATCCAAAACAATGTGTTTGAGATACTCGTACCGTAAGTGTTCCCAGATACTGCTTAATGTACAGAATTTGAATCTGTAATTTGACTCTGTAAATATATCTTTTCTGTTTTACAGTAAGTTGAAAAAGATGTACAGAACAATACAGGAACAAAAAGGAAAGAATAGAGGAGCAGAAGATGAGGACAGTGAAACAGAGGGGAAGCGACCGAAACAGCAGTTTGACAAGGATTTCACCCTCGAACCGTTTGAAGGTGTCAGTCCAGAATACATGGAAATGAGTAAGTGTCTTCTGGTCCCTTGGATATATATTTATTCACAAAATCATTCAATACTGCAATGAACCTGCATTAACTTGTAACCATGTGTGCATGTCTTGACATATACAGTAATCCAGTATGGGTTTGTGACTCTGTTTGTGGCCTCCTTCCCGCTGGCACCAGCGTTTGCGCTGCTCAACAATGTCATCGAGATTCGCCTCGACGCTGCAAAATTTGTCACTGAAATCCAGCGTCCCGATGCTGTGAGGTGCAAAGACATAGGTACAGATTTCACATGTGCTCATGTCCTCTCTGTCTTCCTCTGTGTGAATGTGACAAAAAAAAACAACCCTATCCCTAAATTTCTAATCAAGTTCTTTTTCTTTCCTTTCTTTTACATGAATACACGCATGCGCACACACATTGATACACATGGATCGACACACTTCTTTTCCCCCCTTTGTCTCTTTTCATGTGCATGCTATCTCCAGGGATTTGGTACGACATCCTTTGTGGAATCAGCAAATTCTCTGTCATCACCAATGTAAGTGTGTGTGCGTGTATGAGTCTGCTTTCTATAACCTTTGACTTCTGGCAGAGAAGTGTATACTGAAGTGAACTCCAGTTTAACTGCAACTTACTGCTGCTGCCATGTCCTTGCTGAATGAGTGCAAATGTTCAGTCCATCGAATTAAATTCTGTTTGCTGAAATTCATAATATTGTAACAAGGCACTCTATGGCAGCTAGAGGTGTGGCACAATTTGCAGGTCTCTGAGCTCAAAAGCAACTTTAATGCAGCTTTAAATTATTTTAATTGCTCATATACTTGAATTTGCAGTATATTTAAAATCTCCCTCCTTTAACTTTGATGCTGGTTTGCAGGATTTCTGTGTCGTGGCATAGAAATGCTGCAAACACATGTGGAACAGTTGTAAAGAATAACAAAGTGTACTTTTAAACATATAATATAATATAATATAATATAATATAATATAATATAAGTGGCAAATTGAAATAGTCGGGACTTTTTTGGTTGGCTCTTTTAGAGGTCTAACAACAGACATTTGTTACATGTCTGTTGTCTGTCACAACAGACATGTAACAAATTAAATTTTTAAAAATACTGATTTCCTTTTTTATTTGTCACTCATCTTGTCACTGGTGTTACCATATTCTTTTGGCAAGTTTAAAGGCTTTACAAAATATTATTCCTCAGCCTCTTTAGGATAATGAAACAAGATTTCATTTTATTATTTACACTCAGGTTTGTTCAGCATGTGGCTGTACGACATTTGTTTATTTGTCCATTTGCTAATAACAATAAAAATATTAGAATTAAAGCTAAAAATGAATAATAATGCAATCCTGTATATCCTAACCCACACAGTTACTAATTACTAATGTGTCGAAATCAAATATTAAACACCTTGCTTGATGTGATCGGAAAAAAACCCACTCAGTTTGGAGATACCAAACAAAAGGAGGATTAATAATGAAAAAGAAATGTTTTCTGTAAATTGGAGTCAATGATTGAATCAGTTTTTATTTTGTTCTTTTTCTTACAATTCCCTAAAGGTAAGGTAAAATCTTAAACTAAACTATTTTTATGAAATTATAAAATAAAAGAGAAAAACTCTTCAAAAACCCTCGACCCCCCTCTGTACTGACCTCTGTACTGACCTCTGACCTGGACCATTATAGTTTAGTTCATTTATTTCTTGTCTCGGAGTGTAATCTCACCAAGTGGTGGTGGTGGGGTGGGCGCCAGCTAAAAGCCCCACGCATTGGTCTTATTATGACATAAAGCAATTCAGTAAATATGTCAGAGGAAATCCTGGGAATTGAGTGATGTCATCACTATCATTTTTTCTTTCAAAATAATACACTTTTGTAATATGAAAACATCAAGGGAATAATAGTTTCTTTATATATTTTTTAAGATTTTGTTTACAATTTGTTTTGTTATGTCACGTTTATTGTATATTTGATAGTTATGTAGATATTACTGCATTTAAATTGGTAAAAAAAAAAACACTTTTTAAAACAAAACATGCTGTTTACCACTATCCTTTATTGTGTGGTGGGGCACTTCTGTGGTGCTTGGATCTATATATAAACTGCTTTCGGCTCATTTATTCTCAAAGGGATGCCACAGCGGGTAGCTCGACGTGTTTGCTTTGGCAGATTACACCAGAGACTCTTCCTGACAATAATATATTTGACAAATCTTGTCAATTTGATGGCTCAGGTATAATTGTTCAAATCACATATTGTAATATTTTAACACAGACATAAATCAAAAATTTAATTAAAACACCAAATTATTTTTAAAGTGTAATATTTCTTTAAAAGCTACAGACAAAAAAATAGACAGTATTACTAACGTTACGTTATTCTTATTATTGGACCATAAAGTTATTTATTGCTAATGTAACTTTCACCCCTTGTTTGTCTTTCTAGGCATTTGTCATCTCCTTCACGTCAGAGTTTGTTCCACGAATGGTTTACCAGTACATATACAGCGCTAATGGCACCATGAGCGGATACACGGAGCACTCGCTGTCCTACTTCGATGTCAGCAACTTCCCCTCTGGCACAGCGCCAAACACCACCCTTATCACTGGAGTATCCATGTGCAGGTCAGAGTCACTCTATTAACCTTGACCTACCTGGAACTTTCTTGAAATCCTTTAGTCCAGCAGCTTAGCGCTTTACCTGGAACATATACAAAAAGACTTCCTCAAGATTTCCACATTTTGTCATGTGTCAGATTCATTTTTCATCAGTCTTCATGGATACTTGAAAATTACAAAGCAAACATTTTTTGAAGGTATTGTTAAATGTATTAAAGATAACAATTTACTTCAGTATTCAGACCTTACTGGGCTATAATTGAGCTCTGGTGCATCCTGTTAAAAATCAATGAGATGTTTCAGCAACTTAACTGGGCACAGCCTATATGAAAAGGCACACACCTGTCGATATAAATTCTTCCTGTTGATATCAGATTGAAGGCCAAACCGTAGCGTATCCTGTATGATACTGGAAGAGCAGTGGCTTATCACAGAGCAGACGCTGAGGGACATACTGTGATTCATGCTCATATCCATCCAGTATCCACTTCAAAATTTCCATCCATCCATTCAGCCACACAGCCAGCAGTTTTCTTAACGGATTATTCCTCTCTCAGTCTATCTCACTTGTCATTTGGCGAGAGGCAGAGTGTATCCTGGTTAGGTTGGCAGTTCATCACATGGCCAACACATAGAAACAGACAGACAATTTAGAATCACCATTTAACCTAACATGCATGTCTTTTAAGCTGTGCATGGAAATTCAACACCTAAGAGAAAATCACGCAGCGCCAGGGAGAGCATATCTGCATCGTCTCCCAGCCCCTCATGGACTTGTTCACACATTTAAATAATAAGCGAGAAGGACCATCACTGGTGTAGCAGTCCACCAATCGGGCCCTCGTGGTAGTGTAGCAAGTTTTGGAGCAGTTTCTTATCAAGCAGTTTATAGTTTTGTTTGGAGAAAATAGATCCGACTTCATTAACACTGTCTATACAGACTAAGGCACTCGTGACAACGTAATGCAATGGGGATGTTTATGTTTTGTTTTTTGTTTGTTTTTATTACAACAAGGCGTGGAAGACAAGACGGGATAGTGTTAAAGATGCTTGCAGAAAAAAAATGTTAATTTTCAGTGAAAATCTTTTGCAACCGATGACAAATAACCACCCCAAACACAAAAACACGACCTAGAATGACCCAACCACAGGCAAGACCTGAGAGACGGGAACGTGGCTGTGCAGTGACACCAAGCAGTTCTGCCAAGAAGAATAGGCGAAGCTTCCAAAACAATCATGTGCCAAACTTGTAAGATCATTCCAAAGAAAGGCCGTGACTGTTGCCAAAGCTGCTTTAACCAAGTACTGAGAGAAACTTCTGAATGCTTAATGTATGTAAAATGGGACGTTTCAGGCTTTTGTTTTAGTGCATTTACAAAACATTCATAAAACGTTTTGTGGAGTATTTGTGTGGAAATTAATGAGAGGTTAGAAAAAGAAGTATAAGAATCAATTTTTGAGATGTCGGAAACGAAAGATGAGGAAAATTTAAAAGGATTTGAATTGTTTTTATTTTTTTACTGTAAATGTGTGCAAGGATGAGTTTTAAGAAATTGTCAAATGTTGGCTTGGATAGCTTTTAGCTTTTTGTGTGTATTTTTTTTCTGTGCTCCCACATGTTTCTCTGTGCTAATACTCACAGTGTATCTTTCTGTCAGGTATAAAGACTACAGAGATCCTCCGTGGGCAACAGATTCATACACCTTCTCTAAACAGTACTGGTCTGTCCTGGCTGCAAAACTGGCCTTCGTAATTTTCTTCCAGGTATCAATATGACTTAGCTACAGTAGGACATATGCTACACTTAGTCTGAAAGGGTATCTCCAGCTCTGTTTTTACTTAAATCTGATATGTGACTTCCTTTTTTTCTGTCTTTCTCAAAGGATGTTGATATAATGTATATATAAGTAGAGATGCACCAGTCCAACTTTTCCTCTCCTGATATCTGCTGATAGGTTTTTT